TTCAGGGTATACAAAGTATATTTTCTCTTAAATAACAGTCTATGATCAGTGATGAGTGGCATTTAAAAAAAGAATGAATAATACAAATCCAGAAATGTAGTTTTTATACCATGTGTTACTCACAGTACCAAACGAATATTACGAAAGCATTTGAGATAAGAGGTCCTATCAATATGTAAAAACAAAAACAGTAAATTGCACAAACTTACTTTAACCTTATAAACAGTTATTTGATTTGAAGAAAGTAGCTAAAACACATGAAGTAACAACAGGCCTTTTGTACTGTACATATGAATACTGTGACATCTGCTTTTCAAATTAAAAGCCTGTGTTTGAATTCCTGACAGGCTCGCAGCTCACCTGCCCCAGTCAACTTAAAAAAAAAAAAAAATAGAAAAAGTGGTGTGTGGCAGTCTTTTTAGTCAGTTCATTGACTGTAATGTGAATTTTTGTCTTTATCGTTTCATGAAGTTTTCCAGGGAGGCTGGCGTCCTCTGAATGGAGTGGATATTTCTCTTCACTCTGTCCTCTAAGGACGAGCTCGCGGCACTCTCCAGCTTCATGTTGCTGCAAGATGACAAAGGTCAGTTACTGAAACTTAAAATGCACAAACACACACAAATAACTGATCTGATTATCAGACTTGCGTCCACAAACACCACACTCTGAACTCACTGGATGAAGCCAGCGTGGCGGTCATGCTTGGCGTTTTGTTCCCTCTGCTTCTCCTGCTCGTCCTGCCTCTTATAGCGCTTCACATTATTCTCCCTGTCCTCCTCCCGCTGCTTGGCTTGGTCCATCATCTCACGCCTCTTTCGCTCCATCTCCTCTGCAGAGAGCTTCCTACATCAGACAGAACAACATGGAAAATTAACCAGTTCAGCGTGGGTGGTGATAAAGATGAGATTTTATGTAACATGTTACAATTTAAGCAGCTCATCTGCTCATCTTAACACAAGTATCACAGTTACAACATTGATAATATTTACAAGTGCTTGCTTGCAAAAAAAAAGAGCAGATCAAAGCAGTTATTGCAATATTTAATCAGTTATCATACAAATACGTTCACAAACATACTTTTTGGAGATGTGTACGCTCTTACTTGGGCACGTGGTTCCTCTGTCTCTGGTAGCGGTCCTTCTGTGGGCTGGGAGCTCTGGGTTCCTGCTTCTTTTCACTCCGATGTGAGGAGGATGAAGAGTAGGAGCGGCTGTCCTTGTAATTCCTGTGAGGTGATCGGGACCGGCTCCTCTCACGCCGCCCTGAGTGACCGGAGGAGGTCGAGGTCTGTTGATATCTGTCTGTTGGGAGCTGAGGGAAAAGACCAAAGATCAGCAACACATTTCAGGAGGGTCTCCCCTCACAGTGGATTGGGCCAGAAACCCCCAAGAAAAAGAAAAGCTGCATGCTGCTCTTAAAAAAAAACAAAAAAAAAAAACAACAACACTTGCAAAGAAACTTTAGCTCCCTGGTCACCGGGAGTCCCTTATTTCTACTTGTTGAAGGCTTTCAACTTCTACTCTCGTGCTGTGTGTGCAGCTTACACAGAGAACTGTGGGTCAGAATGTGAACACACTCATGCATATTAAAGTTTTTCCAGGCATGCTGAAGAAGGTTAATATTTTGTGAATATTTATAAGCATATTTACTAAAAACACTTTAAAGATGAAGCGATTGGTTTTGCCAGTGCACATCTGATTAATCACTTCCACACC